AGATAAATAAAGCAAAAGCATTCAATCCCAATGTACAAAGTAAGAGAGAGTTCATTAAGAGATTTAGAGCCACCTGAAGTGGAAATCAAGCATTTTCTTTCTTGTACTATTATCTCCTTTATATACCACAGTCCTTTCATCCTTTTCTGCGACTTCTCTGCAATTACTGATGCATTGCTATGTTCATGTGAATGCCGGCTAAAGACGTTCCCTAGAACAAATGAAACGATAGAGGAAATAAAATGAATCCGTAGAATATTTTAATTTAAACTACTGGCTATTTTGTATGGTCCATTCAGTGCATGTTGTTTAACAGTGTTTTGAAGGATGAAGGATTTTTCATTGTTGGGACCTGTTTAAGTTATAACTGTGGATACCAATGCCATTTCGAAACCATGGCTGACAACATCACACTCTGAAATGGTGCAGTATACAACAACAACAAGCAGTAGATTCTTAAAAGAAAGGGGTTTCATTGTCATTTACAGTATGTTCTGTTCCTGGCTTCCCTTACTCAATGGACTTGTGTAACTGTGTGTGCACTCTGGCCCCTGCTTTGCACACGACTTATAATCCTGCTACTGGTGTCATCCAAGTGTCACTCCTAGACATAAGGCAAGGTGTCAGTGGGGCGTCCCTTCAAGTGTGTGTGTGTGTGTGTGTGTGTGTGCTTGATTTGACTTTGCATGGATGAATTCTGTGAGTTTAGGTTGAGTGCACGTCAACGTGTATGTGTATCCTGCGTTGTGTGGCGTGCACGTCTGTGGGACTGATTAAGACACACTGTTCTCCAGTGTGGTGGGACACCTGCTCTTTGAGGAAATACGGGCTCTTGGCCAGCAGGGCAAGGGGGTCGGCAGAGAAAGAGGCACGTGGAGGCGGAAAGGAGGGGAGGTGAGCTACTAGCAAACACTGCCGTCCAATTCTGCAACAAAAGGACTTTTAATTTAGCTGCAAGCAGGGTAGGCACATGACATAGGTGGGGGGACACATTGCTGCCAAGCGATTATCTAACTCTGAGTGGGCAAAGTGACAACACACAAATACATCTAATGTATGAACAAACACACACACACACACACACACACACACACACACACACACACACACACACACACACACACACACACACACACACACACAGCTTCAGTTCTTTTGCGCGGCTGCAGGAGAAGAAAACAACCATGTGTGTTGGGCTTATTGGCTTATGTTGAATCTAGGTGACAACACACTGTGGCAACGAGGCTACCATTCCCTCTAATCATTTTTTATCTGTCATTCAATTAAACTTGCATGGTGAAATTGCAAAAATATAACACACAAGTGTGTGTTATACGCTTGTGGATGGTATTATAAACAAACTATAGGTAAATGTGTAGTTACCACCCAGGTTGAATGAGTCTGTGTCTGCTAAACTGGTGTTTCTTATTCAGCTCTAAGTAGTTCAAATGTCTAAGATAACCCAGAAAAGGTCTTCACATAACAGCTGCAGTAAGTGGAGGATTGCCATGACTGGGAAATCAGTTGTTCAAATTGTTAACGTGCATGAGAATAAGCTGCAGATTCAGGGCCAATATAGTGGCCGAGTGTGACACATGATGACAAGTCACAACAGAGCAAATGATGGGTGCATTATAGATGCACAGACACATACACACACACATCTAGTAAACACTAAACAGCTTGCAAGAACAGTTACAAAGCTGAACAGGAATGGCAGTTTTCTTGGTGTTCTAGGTGCTTAGACTTAAAGTAATTGCTGCATGTCTGTCATTGACAACGAAGGCAGAGAAAATGTCTTCAGCTGCTCCCCTGCCTGTTTTGTTCGCTGCACTTGTGTAAAGTGGAAGGAAAAAAGTGTCATTCAATGAATGCAGCTATTCTTCCCATGACAGCTTCATATTTGTAAGTTGGGGGGAGGCCACCCCAAATCCTCCTTATTTTTTTGGTAACACCTTTGACAGGGTGTTATGGCTGTGTGTGTGTGTGTGTGTGTGTGTGTGCGCATGTCCATATATGTGTACGTGGTAACCATAAACACGTATATGGACACACACATACAGACTTCCCACTCTAATAGGTTATTTTACACCCCCTCTCTGTAATGTGCAAGGACTCACATTCACACACGCAAATATGGACAAATGCATTGAAGGGGTGAGTGCTGAGTGAATGGATGCCCTTTATAACCGTGCTCAGAAAGTGTCCCTGTGTTAATACAGCTGATCAGAGGGCTGAAAGAGAGATAGAGAGAAAGCAGAGTGAAAGACAGAAAAAAAGATGCTGTTGAAGAGCCAAAAGCAGAGAAGAATGACTTTACTATTACAACTGCAGAATGCCTTCTGCTAGGCCTTCTGTCGATTCATCTGACCTTGTATCTCATTTAAGTGGGTTGGGATCGGTGATGGTCATGGTAACACGAACACACCCACACACATAAAAAAGTGAAGCAGAAACTTTGACAAGGATCATTAAATTAAATCTTATAGACCAAAATTTCTATATAGTTATTCTTAGTTTCTTCCATCAGGTCCAATTCCCCGCAAAATCAGACAAAACCAATTATGGCCTCAAGCGGCCAGCCGCCTTCGGCGGACGAACAAGATTTGGCTTCTCTGCCTCTTTTTACCTGAAGGCGGAGCTCCAGTGGGAAATGAAAAGCTCTGCGGCTCCTCTTCATGAGCCGAGCTTCACCTCACTGGGCGCCAGAACACAGGGACCATACTGCCGGGGTCCCAGATCTGTATCGATGGCCCACTGGAGCAAACGGAGGCACTAGAGAAAGGGAACCAGGACTGTGCAACGCTGTGGGTGGAAACACCGTTGTTTGTGAATTAAGGCAAAATTAAAGTTCCTTATAGTAGTTTGAAGTCAATTTTATAGTTGGATTAACCTACTTTACTACGAATTAAATAGAACAGGAGAAAGTGCAACTATGTCAATATCTCTGTGTACAAAGTTCCAAAGGTCTAAAGTAGTGGACTCCAAGGTGACCTCCCTGAGAGCCTGTTGTCCACCTGATCACTACTTTCCCAGGAAAGGTGCCCCCCCTAAATGAGTGCAATCCCTTTCATATCTATATAACAGGTTAATGGGGAAGATGTGAACTCTACATGACAATCCAAACATGTCTCATCTCCATTTGCTAAAGCAGTGCCGGCCAAATCAACAATGGGCAGCAGCAATGACTTGTCGTTGACATTAAACTAGAGATATATTGTATATATTGTACAAGTCTTGGTGGCAGAGAGAGAGAGAGAGACAAAGAGACCCCCGCGGCTCACATACTGACGTGTATGTTACGCTCTATTAAATTAGCATGAGTCCAATATTAAAATAATAACATTTGCCTCCACAATAAATGCTTTGGGTTCCAGAATCAATACCTCTACCCTGTAATGCTAAAGTATCATTACAAATAATAAGAGCAAAGTTGTTGCATTATATTGAGCATTACAAAAAACTCAGAAGGGCATGCACGTATTATAGATTAAATAATTTCATTTCAAATGTCACAGATTCCCGTGAGAGTAAATAGAGTTGCATTGCTAATGTGATTTTTTTTATGGGGGGCGGGGGGTTTGAGGTACAAAACATTTGAACACAAGTATGTGCTCTCCGTGGTAATACATATTAACATATTTAACAACAAGTTAAATGTGCCTTTTTCCATTTAAGTAAAAAAAAGGAAGTCTTCCTGCCTGGACTTCCTGCCTTAAGTTTACTTTACTTAATTCCTCGATCAAAACATACTTCATAAGCATCTACAAAACAGTGTACATTCCCCAAAAAACTACTCTACACATAAAATCAGAGAGAAAAAAATAATTGATTGAAGTACACAAATGATTTGGTGAAATAAAAAGGACCTGGAGAGGAGTGATGATTGCATCATCTTTGAGTTGATAGAGTCGAGTCTAAAGGTGAACACGGAATGATAGAGAAGTATACAGTTGAATTATGAAGGTCCCAGTGATGCCGTCTATGGTCTCACTGGATGAGCCACTCTCAAGGTACTCAGTCTCCATTCATTGCATGAATCAATGGCTCCTGATTAGATTTGGGAGGGGGTGGGGGGTAACTATGGTGTTTTTGTTTGTTGTGACATCTTCCCTCGCTTTGTGAGGTCTCTATGCTCCTGCCTGACAAAGGCACCACCTCATTCGATTGAGGAAGAGAGAAATAGGCAGACAGGACCTGGGGGAGGGGGATCATTGAGAGGGGCCTTCAAGGCTGCTTCTTGTCGCTCCTGCTCAGTTGTGTGCAAGCTAAATGAATGTTAGCATTTGTGCTTTCTTGTATCAATCTGCGCGTTTCGACCATGCAACAGCAAACCGTTGGCCGTCATGGAACACAATATGCATAAAATATTAAATATGCATCAGCAGAACATGTTGGGTCGAAAATGAAAGCTTGTTCATTTGTGGTCTAATATTACAGGTTTTTGCAACAATACATGTGCATTTTGTTCAGGTCACTCCTCTCTATTCGGAAGATGAGTTGGTATTGAAAGAGGAAAATGAAAAAGAAAGTCATCTGCATTTGCATTTGAAGGTTTTAAAGTTTCTGAATAGCTACGCTAGAAAAATCACATCCTGTCTCGTGTTTTAGAAACAGTCCAGAATGGAAATTTAGTCGAATGAACACACAGCATGTCTCACTTTTTCCCTGCATGAGTCATACGTAACACTTTTAACCTGCTCCTTGCATGTATGCTGACAAATCTTCAGCAAAGGACGTTTACAGGGAGACATGTTTACCAGAGGCTGTTTGAGAAAAATGTTCTGCATTCCAGTCAAGCCAAGGCCAAGCCTCAAAGCCATCGCAGTAAACTGCGTGTGATAAGGGTCAGAAAAATGCGATATGTTCTAAATCTAAACAGAGCCAAACCATCTGCCTTAATAATAAATGTGCCACGCTAAAAGGTTACTTGAACAGCAGAATTTAAATTTAATTGAGGCTGTGTGTTGAATAATTAATCTTTTTCCCTGGAAACACAGAGCACGCTGGACAACCCGATGCTGAGAGCCCACAGAGACAGCAGAAGCAGCAGAAGAGGGGGAGAAACAGGCAAAGATGGAAGGAACACAGTAAGTTGTGCTGCGCCAGCCCACGCCACCATCCCATGAACCCTGCCAGAGAGCGACCCGCTATGCAACTCAGTCGGGGCATGATGTCATCCGCCACACCGTCACCCTGGTAACGAGGGTACGTGTGCGGGTTTGTGTGCGGCGGGGGAATAAAGAAATCAACCCTTCAACAAACTGAACACAAATAGGAGAGTGAGAAAAAGGGGCAAAGCCAAAAAGGAGGTCTGGAATCAAAGGAATCAAAGGTCTGGTGTGGGAAGAAATAGCACCACAAGATGACGGTCAGGATTTCGTTGCTATTATTACTGTGGTTGTTGAGGTACAAAGCCATTAGAAAGAGGAGCATTTAGCGTCTCGCTCTGATGTTTGTATCAGTTTGCCCCCCTGTTATTCTCCTCCTCCTTCTCTCCTTCCTCTGTAGGTATTTCAGTTGGAGGCGTCTCCTTAGATCTGTGCCTTTTAATGCTGACTGCCGCATATCTTTTGAGGCCGACTACAAAAGCAAGCTGGCAGTAAACTTTTCCCCCTGAAGGAGAAAGAGAGGAGTGCTATTTGGGATAGCTCCACTCTTTGGGAATCTCCTCCCGACACGGGCTGATCTGAGGACGCCACTTACCCTCCCCTATCCTGACTGCCCCCCAAACACACACACACACTTGCAAAAAGGTTATAAACTTGTGTGTGTGTGGCATGGCGACAGTTCGACTCTGTTCATTTAGAGGAAAGGTGCTTTTATGTGTTCAGGTGCATGTTCATGGTGTGTCTCCCTGCATGCATTAAGTAAACACAATGTTTTTGACGGTCATGGTCGTTTTATTGCAACAGTACAAGCAAGCCGCCAACTCCCCATACGGCAGCAGAAGCAATCCTGGTTTTCAAGGTTCACCCCCCCTCATCTCCTCCTCTCATCAGCCCTCCCTGGGTATGAGGCAGCTCTCCTCCATTGTTGATCGGACTCTGGGCTCGACATTGCTGAGGTGGCGGATTTGTGGAGGAGAGATGCCTCTGTCAAGAACGTGCCTATCCTCTCGCTCAAGCCACCCTCTTATACATAAAATATCACACATCTGAGGGACAATATGCTGACCTGCTGTGACCTCCACACATACGTACGCACGCGAAAGGGAGCACACTCATCAAAACGCACGCAAACACACACACACGCTGGAAAACCTGGGAAACAAACACGCACACAAACGCGCACAGATGGATCCTAGCATACAGTGGTTCACACACACAAACGCTCGGAGAGCTCAAGTCGGCTCACATCCCCCACTCGTACGTGCTTTGACTTTTTTCCATCGCAACCGCATCCCTCAGATGATGTATTTGCGACATCTGGCGGCGTTCGCTATATTCATGGGTGAAGAGATACAACGTGTGTAGTAGGGGGAGAGAGAGAGAGAGAGCAGAGAAAAGGTTTGGCTGAGAAAGACCAAGACCGAAAAAAAAGAGCGGGGTAGTGCGAGGGAACGGACCCCTAATCGGGGGAACGTAGAGGGACGGATTCGCTGGCAAATGTACTGAGTTGCGCGGTGTAAAGCCGCGAGCACCTCGACTTCCACAGCAAAAGGCTTGGGTACCCCCTAGTGGGTGCCCAGTGGCAATCTGGAACTTTTGGGGTTGTGGGGGGGGTGTGGCGGAGCGACGGAGGGCTGCCATGAATTCATAGAGGTCAGAGGTCAGTCTTCTTGAGGTGCAGTGACATCATGACAATGGGACACTTCTAGAGCCTCAGAAACACAAGCTGATCCATTCTGCTGAGGCGAAGGCACCAGGCCCCTCTTTTCCCACACTTTCACACCCTCTGCCAGACAGAGAGAGAGTGAGAGAGAGAGAGAGAGCTGAGGGGTGATTGTGCAGGCCTCACCCCCAGATCCCCCATCCTCCCACCCACATCTCTCATTCTTTCTCTCCCTCTCTTTCTTTCAGGGGCTAGATTAAAAGAGATGGCTTAATTCTGTCTAATTATCTACCCTTACCCTCTCCCCACTTCCTCCCCCTCTTTTTTTATCCCTCTCTGCATATCTCAGTGTGCGGATACTAATTAGCGGCTGTGAATTGTTTCTACTACACAGATAGAGATAAAAATTGTTTTTATATTCCTGCCTATTAAAACTTTACACAACTGTAACACGGGTATAAACATGACATTTTTCTTGAGTGAGCCCTTCTTATCTGTGGACTAATCACCTCTACGATATTTTGACTGATGATTTTATTTAAACATTATTAAATTGCATCAAGACAAAGGTGGTAGCCTGGTCTAAATGCTCCACACACTGAACAGCTCCGTCGACTGAACCTACAGCAATCTCAGCATTAGAAAAAACATTTGCTTTATGGCTATAATTGCATTAGCTTAACAATAAACAATACATTTTCCCCTCACATGTTCATTTGCTTTATGTAATAGCCCACTACTGCAATCTCTGTCTGCGTTTGTTTGTATGTAAGCGTGTGCGACTGCGTGCGCGTTGCGTAAGCAGAAATCACATTAATGAGATCATACATTGGTGTTGAAAGTGCTAATTAGTTGCCAGGCGGAGGGTGAGGGAACTAGGCGAGGATCCTAGTGACTTCAACCATTGTTTCCTAATCCCCTCCACACATTCATAATTCATTCCATCATGGACAGCGATGATACAGCGGCGCTCGTTTTGTCTCTTTTTCTTTCTATCTGGTTGGGGAGATGATGGTTTTCTTTATCCCTTCTGCTCTCTTTCCTTCTCGCTGTGAGGTTTCACTGCGATCATAATAAAATGTGCGAGCGAGGGATGTTCGCCTCGGGACCCGGCTGTCGGGCCACTTTGACAGCTTCATTTGTGGTGTCGCTCTTTGATCCGTCCTGTCACTGGTATCCAACGCCACTGAACATACATTTGCCCCCCAACCTAAATAAATAAATAAGCACTGAACAGTGCAGATCCAAGTAAGGCTTTTCCAAAGATTTTCCAGCTACTTGGCTGTTAGCTACATATGCGGTGAACTCGCTTGCCTCCACCTTCTTTTGCTCTTCCTCCACTGTGGCGATGCATCAACACCCGCAGGGCTGATCCCTTTGTAAATGCTCTCTGACACACACCCACCCTAGCCACAAAAACACACACACACACACACACACACACACACACACACACACACAAACACGCAAGCCTGTACAGAAATAACTGCAGAATCACTACCAACACTTGCTCCCTTTGCATCTAGTGCATATTCCCAAAGTGCACCATTACCGCATGTAAGAAAGAGAGGTGTTATTATAACATATGAAGAGTGAGTCGCAACAATAAAAAGCTGAAAAATAGAGACACACCTGGCGTGATGTGCGAGCAAGGTTACGATACAGAGGAGAACAGATAGCGGGAGGGAGAGCCGGAGGGGGACTGATTATGATCGGTGCTGTCAAGTCTGAGATGTTGAGATGACAGAGAGATATCAGCCATATCAGCTCTCAGTGATACAGGTACCGAGAGACGGATATCAGCCTACACCGCCCTCCCACAACATGGACGCAACCACCGCAAGAGGAATTGATCGGCCATACGGGCCTGTTACTGTTACGGGATGGCAAGTGGCAAGTTTGTGTACCGATAAGTGTAAGATTATTTAAATGTCTTATTTAATTTAATTGTCTTTTCATTCTCATGACAAAACAAATGTTAAACATGTCAATAGTAAGTAGACAAAATAAAATTATTTGGGAATTAAAAACCGTACAAGCGCATCGCTTACATGACTGGAGAGAAGATTCCCCTTCAAACTAATTCATGCAGCCGTTATGTTTGACTTCAAACATAACAGGACAAACCCAGCAGTAGTAGCAGATCTACGCAACAATGTCAGGGTTGAACGAGAATGCAACAAGATATGTTAAAGAGGCTCTGGTGACAGACTATCCTTTTGGATTCATCCTTTTTCTTTTTTGATGTGAAACTCAATTTGCCCCATTATAGGCATCTGAACTCTGCTTCTATGATACAGCAGAAGGTTTGTACCCACTAAAAATGGCACACTCTAAATATCTCACAATCAATCACTACAGTAGGTGCCTGAAAAATAGAGCAGTTTGTTTTCCATTGCTGCTAACGCAAGTGCAAGGAGATGTAACTATTCAATAAGATTCTGATTTGTGTGTATAAGGTTAACTATGGAAATAATTACATCACACTGCGGAATGAATGACTGTCAACCAAACCATGCATCACACTTTCCTCACACAAGAATATATGTATTCATTGTTACAATTTTATTTTGCAGGGACATGTTTAGTCCGTTCTCAGACTCACATCATATACAGGTGCATGATGTACAAGTAGGACAACTTCTTTACTGTTGGCAGGCGCTTTACTCTAGGCATTCTGAACTTGGCTTGTGGGCATCAAAACGTGGTGCAATTTTTACTCAGAGTAAAAAAAAAAGTATCTTGGATAGAATGTGTGTGTCTGTGTGTGTGATGACAAGAGAAATAGAAAAGGCGAGAGCAGGAAGGGACACACCTTGAGAGAAAGAGAGAACAAGAGGGGGGGAGGGAGCCGAGCCACCTTTAAACTACACTCCTTTGTCAGATCTGCACACGTACTTGCTAGGAAGCTGGTGGCAGGCTGCAGAACATGAAGAGCACTGGGAGAGACTCACCTTGAAGGAACGAGCCAAGAACCCAGACTCCTCTATGAGACTGTGTAGAGAAGGGATACACTGAATACCTGCAAGGTGCATATGAAGTAGTGGAAACAGAAAGGCTGCAGGGTGAGGCTAACCTTGAGAACAGTGAGGGGCAGAGGAAAGGTCTACCACACTGTGATAAGAGGGGCTCCTTCAAAGACCCTCAGACAGGAGGGGTAGGCAGGATGACTGATTGCAAGATACAGCCAAAGGGTCACACTCTGAAGTGAGGGCAGAGACACTGGACAAACACACACACACACACACACACACACACATGCCAGGGCCGACAAGACCCACCGATTCAGACACATGCACGAACGTCCGATACCCTT